GTGACTAAAATGCTTTGCCATCACCTCAGATTATGAGTTTGATATTGTGGGATATGTGTTACTTCTTACAAGAACTTAATACGGTTGTTTGAAAACCAAGATTTCTCAGAACATGAAAACGATGCGTTAAATTACTATGCCCAGTAGGATTGTAGGCCTCTCAGAAAATTAGTAAGGATGTCAGAGATTCTTAGTTCAGTTACTGATGATAAAAGTTTACAATTTATAATTAGTATGTTTTAGTTCCAGTGTATCTTCTTTCATGTAAATATGTAACAGGTTTTGTTGTTTCTTATGGCAGGATAACAGCATGGCTGGTGAAGGCATCTCGATAGATGAATTTATGGAGTGCGACTCGATTGTCGGGCAGATATTTAAAAGTGAGAACGAAGCGTAAATGTTCTACTTAGGGCATGAGAAGAACAAAGGATTTGGTGTTAGAAAGGGCGATCTGAAACATGAGGGAAACAAGGAAAATGCATACCGGAGGATGTTTGTGTGCTGCAAACAAGCATGTCATGCCGTAAAGCACTTTGATGAAACCGACAAGAAAAGGACACCAAGGGCACTCTCTCGGTGTGGTTGCCCTGCTCTTTTGCAAGTTGAGCTTCAAACGGTCTAGCAGACAAAACCTAAGCTCATCACTGACTTGTGTAATGTATTATACCCCCTCTGTTCCCAAATAATTGTCTTGCTAGAGATTTCAACAAGTGACTACATACGGAGCAAAATGAATGAATCTACACTCTAAAACATGTCTACATACATCCGTATGTTGTAGTTCATTTGAGATGGCTAGAAAGACAAATATTTAGGAACGGAGGGAGTACAAACTAAAAAGAGCACAATCCACAGTGTCACCCTGATGTAGAACCTGATAGTAAAAGGTAAGACCGTAAGGCTAATAACAATATCAAACTGAAAAACAACAAACCATCAAGCATATAATTTTGAATTTCCAAATGCAAGGTAGGAGAACTGCCCATTCTATTGAGGAGAAAGCTGAATGAAAGTACTTACCTCAACTTCTTTCATCGTGATTGCATTGTGGATATCCAGCATTTCTCCTAAGAATCTGTCAATAATATACTAGGTTTCACCGTGTATCACAGAAAGGTCCAAATTTCTTTTGACTTAGCCTGCAAAACATGTGCAGATGCTAAATGTTCCCGACCCTTGGGAATAGTTACCTTTGAGTGTGATCAAAAGTAGCTTTTGGATCGTGCAAATTCAGTGAACCCATAAGGAATACAGTGGTAGTCTCACTTTCTGCACCTTCAGGCCTGTTTATGGTGGCCAGGCTCTAGTGAGAACTCGTCAATTGGACATAAGAGAAGAATTTGATCAGCAGGATAGTGTTCTCAAAATGCTAACTGGCAGAGGTCAACTCGTCATTGTTGTAATACAGGACAGTAAATTTTATCAAAATTAGTTTCTTAACAAAATACTCACTTGCCATGCACAAGTAGAAATAAGTACTTGATGTCTTTTATATTTAGACCTTTGTTGTCAAGTCCCTTCATTAACCAAGTTTTCTGCTTCGGAAGAAACCAAGATATATGAGGCAGGCAGTGTCAGGGAAAACACCACAGCTTGGGAATTTAAGAATGTTACCACTGTTGCAAAATCTCCCGGAACTATTTTTTGCCAGAAAAATAGGTCGCAAATATAATATTGGCCCTGTATATTAGTATATACTGACCCAAAGTATAAAGCCACTTAGAAATTTCATTTTTTTGAAGAACATCCTATTAAACCAAAAAGAAATAGGCACAGAAAATACACTTCTTTCGAAAGCAGAGGTAGCATCCATGAAAGAAGAAAAGTGCAAAGCAACCCCTGCATCATTAGTAAACAATGAAATCAAAGGACTACAAGATTTTGTCCCTCATAGACTTATCTCTGTGTAGAGAGCAATGGACTTCATATTTTAAAATATATGTAGATATGCAATGTGGGTAAAGGTAGTAAAGATGTACGAAATTTCCCATACAGATAAAGTAGCAGAATCAAACAAATGTTTGATACAACTTGGGGACGATTTAATAGGATTAAAAACAATGTGGAAACCTTCTACGGGGCTAAAAACAGACCACACGCAACCCTATTAACTCTACACCAAGTCAAGCATCGAACCACACCACTAGAGTACGGAACCATCGTCTCATGAGCCGTCTCCTCCGTTGTTGTCTCCGGCGTCTCCTCCGAGGTCGAGGTCTTCTAAATCGGCCGCTGGTTTGGCCTTCCGCACTTTCAACTCGTTGTGAGGTGAATTTATCAGGGCAGTAGTAAGCCATTTTCTGAACTATCGAATGTCATGCTGCGTAGTACGAGATAGACGTTAGGACCGTTTTGTAATTGTATATGTGAAAGTAAGTCGGATGGGGAAGATGTAGGTATCTGGTCGAATATCGCCTGACGTTAGGACCATTGTCTCGCCTGACACAAGAAAACTCAACCCTCGATCCAGCAGCAGAAGCAGGAGCATCCATCCATCGTTTTGATGTAACGACGGAAGAAATGAACGCAGCAGCGCAGAGTTCACCTATGCGACGTGGGAGACGCCGAAACAAAATGGTGAGTAACTGAATGCAACCAGGAACGAGCACAATTGTACAAAGATGGACTCGGTAGTAATATGCATAGAGCGTACCTCAGAACGGAGACCCTGGGCAGCCTCTCCTTGTAGTGGCACGAGTGGACTGGCGGTTCGAAGTGGTCGGGGCAGTGGTCGTCGTCCCACTCCAGAACGTCCCACACGTCATTCTCGATCTCAACGGTCGGCTTCTTCTCGCCTTGGCCACGGGCGCCCACGGATGGTAGCCTGCGCAGGCTCCAGCACCCCCTGATCTTGATGCTCTCGAGCGCGGGCGCCACCATCTTGACCTCGCATATCTGCTGCAGCTTCGGGAGGTCGTGTAGGTGGATGGTGGTCAGCTTCGGGAATAGTACACCGTCGTGGATGATGTGGGGGGCATTTGCGTACTTTTTGTCCAGCTCAAAGACATGCACGAGGTTGCCGCAGTGGTTGATGTGGAGGGTTTTCAAGCCGTTGAAGGAGGAGACAAACACCGGGAGCACGGACTGGAGGCTGGGACAGGAGCGCAGGTGTAGGTGCTGTAAATCTTGGAAGGATTCGATGTACAAGTAAACATGGTTGGGATTTTCACTCCAAATCCAGCGGGCCATTAGGAGATCCGATGCCCACAAGGTCTCCACCATAATAAATCCATCAGACAAAACAAAGACGGTATCCAACTTTGGGCACCTCTCCACGCAGCACCACCTAAGGAAGGGACACCCGTAAGGGACACTCGTATCATGAAGAACAATGGCACGAATGGATACGTCATGCACATGCAGGGATTCCGTATAATATCCCATTAATCCACCGAGATCTCCATTCAGTTCTCTCTCCACATAGCAGCTCCCTTTAGCAATCTCCATATGCCGGTCCGACTGTGTAGTCGGAGGTTGTGGGAAAGCCTGCATCGGGGGATCGCTAACCATGCTAAGGACATCATTGTACGGGCCTGCTGGAATAATCTGCTGCAAGCTCTTTTGATCACTGGGGCCAATCTTATTCTTGGGGGTTGCTTCAAATTGAACAACTCCATCATACACAGGTGAGGAGGTGAGGTGGATATTATAAGAATAAACATCTTTAGGTGGGCCTTTACGACTTGGTCCGTCCCATCCTTTAGGTCTCAACACATCCTCAGGTGTGTCCCTTTTTAAATATGGCCACAACAGACCCTTCAAAGAGCGAATAAGCCTCGCATCCATAGCAACAACATGCACCTGCAACCGGAAGGATTTGATCCTGTTGATGGATGGCCGAGCACACACAATCCCAACTCGCGTGTCTATGCACACCAACTCCAGGTTAGATTTTACCTTAGAACCACTCTCATCCAACCAAATTATAGCACGAAGATGCTTGCATCCTATTAGAAATAGGCGCTTGAGCCTTGGGACTTGCACCACCATACTCTTGAAATCAAGTATTTTGATTGCAGTTTCAGAGAGGTCCAATTCTATGAGGTTGGGTAGCCAACACAAAAACAGGTTCTTCAATTGCGTGCAACCTTGTAGGGAGATCTTGGACACTCTGATATCCTTATTACCTGTTGTCGTGGATGAACGGAATTGTTTCGGAGGTAGCTCAACGGTTTGCGTCCATTGAGAAGCTGGCCCATGACCATTAAAGCTAAAATATTCGAGGGACAAAGGAAGCCCGCCAACATTTTCCAACCCATAGCAACCATCAAGTACAAGCTACTTGTTGTTGACAGGCTTGCTGGAAGAATTTCCATGTCACTGTTGCCTGACAAGTCAAGTATTTCCATACTTGGCTTATCTATAAAAGAGTTATCAAAATCCTCTGATGTCTTCCATTGGCATGTTGGTTTGATTATTCGGAGCCTCTGGAGGTTAGGGAGCCGCCGTTGTAGGTTAGCTATATACTGCCAACCCCTGACTCCTTCTATATTTAGCTCTCTGATATTAGTCATGAGATCCATCTTTTCTTCACTTAAGATTTGATTCCATTCTGTGTAACACAGATCCAACACCGATAGGCTATATAAATATGCCCAATCTGTATGATCATCTCCTTGACGTGTTTTATCATCTGTGCAGTTTTCCAATCCAAGGAATTTTAGGCTACGGCATTTTAGGAAAGGAGGTAATGCAAAATCAAAGGCACACCATTTGAGAACTAGCACACCAAGCTTGCTGGAATGTTCAAAAAGTACATTTGGTAAAGTTGGTGGGTGGCCAGATCTTTCAAATGCCAAGAAGAAAGATGATGTCACTGCAGGTATAGTTTGCATACGATGAACTTCTATATTCCTCGATGTGACTGATATCCAACAGTATGGGCCTTCTTTATAGACAACATCATCGTTAATTACGAGAAAAGGAAGCATCAACTGTTTCATATACCATTTAAGAACACCATCTAGCATAGAAACATCATTGCACTTCCAATTTATCTCTCAATGTAATGCATTACTAATATCCCTTGCTGTGTACCCTTGTATGATTGCATCGCATACCCAATAGTTGGAAGCATGAGACACCCAATCAAAATTGGTGGCCATGTGAAAATTGTAATGCAGAAATAACTCATAGAGACAACAATCTGCCACAATTGTTGGGTTGATGTCCAGCATACATGGGTTGCGAGCAACTATGGTAGCAGCTTCTTGATGCAGCAGACCACAAAAGTGTGACAATGACAACTCTTTGATAGAATCACGGAAACCAAGGATAGCATGCGTATATCTTAGCTTGTTTTCTACCCTTGAACGGTCATGATTCAATTCCAGGCATCTTCTACTGAAGGTCCATATCATTACATTGTTTCCATATCTTGTAAGAGGAATTCCTACGTCAACCTCTTCATCACTTCCGTTAAGGAAAATCATCATCAATTTGGTGTCCCTCAGGGTTTGATCAATCGCTTGTCCAACAATGCCTATCTCATTCCTTGAGCTTTCATCAACTTCGTTAAAGTCATCCTCTTCATCTTGCTCATCTAGACTGGCCATTACTGAAGGGTCAAGTTCCAGAGCCTCTGCAATCAGGGGCGGAGCCCATTGGGCTGACCCGTATGCACAGGAATACGGGTGAAAAAATTCCCTAGCAGTGCCTATTAGTTAAAAAGGCCGAGTGCATCAGGGTGGCCCAAGAGCTGTGCATCAGGGTCAGCCCGTTCCAGCCACTCGGACGCCTCCGGACTGGCCCAACGCAGCAGTACACGCACGCACGACGGTTCGCTTGCGCATCCACCATCTCCTCACGTAGTTTTTGTCTATGAAAAAAAAGAGAATCTCTTCACGTAGTCACGTACGCAAACCTAATCGATCCATCTTTTTTTTCACTAGAAAAAAACTAATCGATCCATCGATCGATTTGTGCATTACGCGTACGAACCCAGCCTACCATACTCCATACGCCCCCTGCGCGTCGCCGTCCCACACAGCCGCCGGAGGCGGCAGCGGCAGCGCGCCGGCCGCCGGCCTCCATGCAGCCTGGGTCCTCACACGGTGACGAAGCGACGCGCACGAGCAACGTTGCACGCCGTCTGGTGCTCGGTAATTTCGCATCCTTTTCAAATTCCAATCTTGAATGTTCGTCTCTGTGTCCGCCATAGATGATAAATTACAAAAGGCCACAATTGTGGTAGGGCCTTTGTCTTGCTTTTCCTAGTTTTGTTGAACTTCAACAATCATGTATAGACTTGTAGTGAATATAGTAAATCACTATGTTTTGGTAAAAGTGTGGAGTATTTTCTAGGGTTATAACTTCTAATTAGGTTATATTTTATTTGCCTATACAATTCTCCATGTCTCATTTATAATTTATATTTGTCAAATACAGATACTATGGACAAGTTTCTTCTCAAAAGAAATGCACCATCACAGCGAGAAGACATAAATTGGGAAAAGGAGATTCAGTATGATCAGGGCAATCGCCTCAATGATGAAAGTTTGAGTGATGATATTATTTTTTATGTGGAGAAGGAAGAAATGAAAAGGGCCACCAATGCTCAAGTGGTTGAGTATTTCATGGCCTGGAGGAATAGAAACAAGTGGTTGAGTATTTCATGGCCTGGAGGAATAGAAACATACTAAGGTAATTTTCAATTTTTAGCAATCTAAGTACTTTCATTTGGGCTACATTTCAAGTAGTTATATCCCTTGTTTTATCATTATAGTAAGCAATTTGATGGCTACATTTCGTTTTTACAAATCGCTTCTATTATATCCAATAATGTGTGTTAAACCTATAAAACACACATTTATTCAATACATCCACGCTTGAAAAAATTTATGCCTTGTTAAAGTGGTGCATCGGGTAAGATTTGCTCCAGCTCCGCCCCTGTCTGCAATTGCCCTCTGCATTGCTCTTCTATTTTTCCACTCAGAGCAATCTATATAAATTATTCTGTCAAAGCATAGTTCCGGAGTGGTTCTCCTGGACGGGAGCACTGCTGCTATGGATCTAAGAACAGCGGACGCCCCGAATCGATCCCAACCATCAAAATAGATGACCTTTACGTAGCTCTTGTATTTAAGAAACCGAAATATTTCCTCTCTGGCGCCATCAACATCCGTTGAATAAATGTGCTGTCAAAACATGTTAATAAGTTAGAACACTCATTTGAATCACAATTGTTAATTACAGCCAGGCCGACGGCAAAGTAGTTAGGTGAGTAGTTAGGCATACAGTCTACCTATAAGATATCATATGTAACATGTAGGTGTTTTTTTTTTACAACTAAGGACATTTACGTACGTGACCGTGTGCTAGCATGTGAGATATAGTACATTCAGCGGTGGAAGACGAAATAAATATTTGGTGTGGCGAAATCGATAGAGTGAAGTCAAAGAAGAGAGAGTAGAAGTACTGAATGCACTAATCAAATATATGGCATACAATACAATGTATAATAACCAAGAGAAAATGTACAACTCGCGTAACCAATTATGATAATCACACTCAGAAATTGCTTGCGCTTAAGAGATGTCATCTTTCGGTTTCCGTTTGCACGGAATTTATGTATATAGTCGCCGGAGTTTCACTCTCTTCCCGTCTGCCGACTACCGCTCTTCCTGGTATCGCTCGCCTCGTCGGTCGCCCCTGGCGAATTTCTGCAGCGCTGCAATTTCTAGCACATCTGACCGATCGATTTGACCGCTTCAAGTGCGTAGATGGTGTAATTTTGATAGTTAGAATTGATCAAACATGCATGCATTGTTGAAGTATGGCAACAGGTATTTTGTATGGACTAGCAGTTATCTGAGACTAGTCCTGGCCAGATTTTAGGAAGCGTCGAACTAGCACGCTGCTACCAAGGACATGTCCTAAACAGACTTGGATGCTAAGCTGAACCATGGGATTTGCACGGGTTATATATCTACTACATGAGTGAAGAAGTATGCTTAGTACGTGATCGCCATTACTTGTTGTGATTAGCATTATGGCCAGAATATTTTATTGTTTCCCTTGTAGGCCCAAGAGTATTTGTACGTGACATGTACATCTGGGGCTGCTAGTGCAAACTATAAACAACCGAATCATAGGAGGACATATCTTGTTGGGAAACGTTTACAGCCTGGGCACCGGCCGAAACTTCGGCCGGTCCACTCGCTCACCCCGCGTGTAGCGCTAAAGCAGGAGGGACACGTCATCCCGCGAGGGCCCGCACACCGCTCTGCTTCCTTATCCTTTCCAGCGCGGCTGCTGTCCACACACACCACATGTTCTTCCTTTCTTTCCTGGGCTTCCCACGTTGCTGCTTCTGCCTATCTACTTTTTCTCAGACGCCATTGCTGCAGAGTTGCTGCACGGGGCGCCCTCCCCCACGAAGCGCGGCGCGCCCTCCCCCACGAAGCGCGGCGCCGCGGGAGTTGTTGCTGCTGCAAGGGATGCCATCGCCATGGCCGTGCCCTTCGCCATGGCCGAACGCGACGGGGCTGAGCACCGGCGCTACTACGACAGGGGGCCATGGCCTGCGAGCTCACAGGCCAGGGCGGCCATGGCTTACGAGCTCGAGGCATGTTACTACAACTCCAGATTTGCTTCCATGTTTGTTTTTGCTGGAACCAGTGTACTAATTTGTTACCACCGTCTTTGTTTTTTGCTGGAACTAACCAAATTTTGCTGCCATGTCTTTTTGCTGGAATCATTTTATACCACTTTTTTGCTACAACAGTTTTGGTTTTTTGCTACTACCGGCACTGTCGTTTGTTACATCCTTTTTCATGAGATTGTCGAGATCCTGCGCTTGTGTGTTTTGCTACAACCTTGTATAGTTTTTGCTACAACCTTCTGCATTTTTTGCTACTACTGGAGAAGCCCCTAGCTGGACCACAAGTTATTTTTGCTACAACCGTTTTGTGGTTTGCTGCAACCAGTGTCAATTTTTGCTACCACCGACTTCTTTGATTTTTCTGAAACCAGCGCTCGATTTTTTTATTTTTGCTACCACTAGCGTTTCGATTTGCTGGAACAAGCTTCAATTTTTTTGCTACCATCAGGTTTTTGGTTTGTTGGAGCGTCGTCGATTTTTTCTAATTTTGCTACCAACGTTTTATTAATTTTTGCTGGAACTGTCAAGAATTTTTGCTACGACCGGTGAAATTTTTTGCTGCGACCGGCAAATTAAGGACAAGGAACAACACGAGCTCTACAACGGGTGCTGCGGCCGGCGACGTGAGGCTCCGCGAGCCGTCGGGGGCCTCGCCGGAGATACGCCGCGGGGGCGTTGCTGGAGCTGGGCCTTGCGCGGAGATGCGCCACGGGGGCGTTGCTGGAGCTGGGCCTCGCCGGAGATGCGCCGTGGGGGCCTTTGTTGGGAGCTGCGCGGTGCTGCGAGCCGCGGGAGATCTCGCCGAAGATGCACCGTGCTGCGAGCCGCAGGGGATCTCGCCAGAGATGCGCCATGGGGCCCGAGGAAGAAGAAGCTGGGGCGATTTGATTATTTTTTTTGGCTCCAGATTCAACCGCCGCGTGGCTCGCATCCAGCGGCTATGGCTGGACCGGCCGAAAGTTTCGGCCGGTGCGCCGGCGCCTAGCGGTGCCCTATCTTGTTCGGTTTCAGCTTTAGAGTTTTACTAGCAAAAGAGCCCGTGCGTTACAACGGGGTAACTAAAATTATATTTCGCCACTTATCACAATTGCTCTGTCTCCTCATTGTCATCAACCTATTCATCCTTTCGGCCTTTTGCAAGTTTAATTATGTACACGAGTTTGTGCTTTTCATCATCATACTGAGCAAATGCCAGTTAGAAATGAGAGGTGGAGGTCAAGGGCTACTTTGAGTGCCATCTTAATAACTGGAGCCTCGATCTGTTTTACTCTGAGTGCCATACTCGAATGAATGCGACATAAAAAATTAGTCCGTTGAAAGAAATTTTCAGGTATGCATGTATATATATATATTTAAAATATATACACATTTTTTCTGAGGAACTTTTCATATATAACATGTTATATTTGGAGTTAGTGTCTGACAGATAAATATTTTGAAGAGTATTTTAATCTGTCAGAAAAAAGAAAGATTAAACAGGAAAAGGATGTATATATCTAGAGTCATATGTCCACGTTCAACAGATTCAGATAGAATATCGGGGGAGATGAGCGAAAAAATCGTGCATATCGAGTTGTGCCTGACTCGGACGAATGAGACGTAAAAAATTAGGCCGGTGAAAGGATTTTTCAGGTACGTATGTATATTTAAAATTTACACACATTTTTCTCATGATTTTCTAATATATAACATGTCATATTTTGAGTTAGTGTTTGAAAGATAAATTCTATTCCGAGCATGTGTTTGTTTATTCGTCAAGCCACTTGTTGACATTCCAAGGAACTTGCCAGCATATATAAATTGATGGGAATTGGTATGAGATAGCAATGCAGGACTATTCTCTTATTAGTAGTACAACTTTTTTTAGACAAATTTGTAGTACAGCTTTTTTTCAAGGGAATTTGTAGTAGAGCTAAAAAGGCCCCCTCTCTTTTTTTTTTCTACCGAGCCTGCTTGCCAGGAAATTTTAAAAGTTGCCTAACAGCCCATAAGAGAAGGCCCATAATAAAAGGATCAATAGCCCATAGCTAGCAATCTGGGCCTGGCACTACGAGCGCAAGGGCATCTTCACGGTCAGGTCGGCATACAAACTCATGTCATCCATTAAACAGCAGCGCACGGATTGGCTTGAACACGCCGAGGGTCATTCACGGCCCACGGCGGATCACCGGTCTTGGTCTACACTATGGGGTGCCGCAGTCCCATCGAAGGTACGGGTGTTCGCATGGAGACTAGCCCAGAGTTCAATACCAACGGGAGAAGTCAGAAAACACCGAAGCATGGCTGATTCAGCAGAGTGCGGGATCTGTCATGCGGCGATCGATACATGACATCACTCCCTTTTTGACTGCCGCATGGCACGCTGTGTTTGGGCCCTATCGGACGAGGATCTTACGGAAACAGTTATATCAAACAGGGAGCAGGATGCCAAACTTTGGATGCTATGGTTGGTTGACACACTTCCTTCGGCTGATCTAGCAAGGGTTTTGGTGACAATGTGGGCCATATGGTGGGCAAGGCGCCGAGCTATCCACGACGATCAGTACCAGAGCCCACTGAGCACCCACACTTTCATTGAGAAGTTTCTGCTGGAGCTAGAGATGTTACCGATCAAGAATACATGTACCAAGGACCTACTTGCAACGCCTGGGGACTTGCATGCAAACCCCAGGGACCTGCATGCAATCAGAAGAAGACCAAGGGTCCCGCCCCCACATGCGTGGCTCCCGCCTGAGAATCATGATGTAAAGTTCAATGTAGATGCAGGCTTTTCGAAGGTTGGTGATCGCACGGCGGCAGCAGTCGTATGCAGGGACAAAGGAGGAAAGTATTTGGGAGCCTCGGCCATCATCTACGACGGTCGCCTCGACCCAACCATCCTCGAAGCACAGGCATGCTGCGAGGCGCTCCACCTCGCCGCAGATCTGCAGGTTCAATCATTTTGCGTGGCTTCTGATTGCCTGGAGGTAATAAGGAACATCCACGATGAAGTCCCTTGTCGATATTTTTCCATCCTTCATGATATCAAGCACGAGAGAAACCACTTTGAAGATGTAAAGTTTCTTCATGAGAATAGAAAGCACAATGGAGAAGCACATGCTTTAGCAAAGGCAGCAGCCTCTCTTAGCACCGGGCGCCATGTGTGGCTTAGTATTTTGCCCGACATAATCTGTATCCCCATGTGTTTGAACTTCTAATAAAGGATACAATTGCTCAAAAAAAACTAGCAATTTGATTTTGTACGAGCGAGGCTAGCGTGCGACATTGGACGTCCTGGCTAGCGAGGCTAGCCTGGGACGTATTAACTTTTATTAGTATCACCTCGCATATATGTTTTAAATTTAAACCAAAAGCGTAAATTCACGGGAAGAAACGTATTATGACGGTGAACCCGACGGAGTCAATCTGTGCATTATTATGAGGGAAAGATTCTTAGAGCAACTCTAGCAGATCCCGCAAAAAATTCGACCCGCAAAACGCGTTTGCGGTTCCACGAAGATCGCGGTTGCGGGTCGAAAACATGCGTGGCCGAACAGAACCCATATCAAAACCTGCATACTTTGAAAAAACACTTTCGCGGAAGAAATTGCGCAAACATAGTTCATCACATACTACATAGTTCATCATATGATCAACAAACTACAAGCATAGTTATACTACATACTACGTTAAGCTAGTAATAGAGGGGTCAGATCTGACGGCGGCGAGGTCGCGGAAAATGGACGACGCCGTGGAAGAGCCAGACGCTCAATCCTCCTCGCCGGAGCTACACAGGTCGACGTACTTTGCCGCCTGCTCCGCGCGGATGCGGCGCCACTCCTCAGCCTTCTCGTTGGCGGCGACGTTGGCGGCGACCACCTGCCGCCACTAGAGGGCTTCGAGCTCCTCGGCGTGGCGCCGGCGCTCCTCCTCCTCGCGCACGCTCCGCTCGGCGATTGCGGCGGCGACGGCGTCGAAGTCCGCGATGTAGTCCTCCGGCCCAACGACTCCGCGGCGGCCGAGCAGAGCGGGCTCCTCGGGCTCCTCCTTCACCGGGGTGAAGGCGAACGGCGCCGGCGGCTCCTGCTCCTCCTCGTTGTCCGACCACTCCCTCTTCACGGGGAGGAAGCCCGCGCCGGAGGACGAGGAGGATCCGGCATAGGAAGATCTCGCAGAGGAGAAGGACGCGCTACGGCGGTCGTGCTCCTCCATCTCGCGGCGGTTGAAGCTCACCGGCGGCGACATTCCACGGTTGGTCCACCTCCGGGCGCCGCGCTTCCTCACGCCGTCCGCCCGGACGCGCCGCTCGCGCTCCGGGTCGCGCTCACGGCCGGATCTGCTACCGGAACCGCGTCCGGAGCTCCACATTCGCCCCCACATGGCGGCTGGAGGCGGGGCGGGTGGTCGCTAGCGGCGAGAAATTGGGAGAGGGGAAAGGGGAATCGGGTGGCTCGCGGCGACGGGGGGATATGGTTTGGACCCGCAAAAGGGTCGCGGACGCAGTTAGACTGCTCGGGGCGTGCGGTTTGTCGGCTGCGGCAAAAAAAATTGCGGGCCGGGCGAGTATGCGGTCTCTGTTCTGGCTGGAAAATTGGGCCGAGCCCGCATACTCGCCGGAAATTTTGCGGGCCAGACGTTTTGCGGGGTCTGCTAGAGTTGCTCTTATACGCAAGCCCAACGTGCCATATAAATGTGCCATCGTACAAGTATCGTAGGTGATTCTATCATATGCAAAGTAATTTCATGTCAAGGCCGTGTGGCCGATTGAGAGAGACCAATAAATCTATTTAGAAAAATATACTACTTTCATCTACGTTTGTCACTTGCTCGCTTTCACTGCTGAGCCCTAGGGTTTGATTGACCTTTCTTGTTTTACACTGAAAAATGGTCGTCTCTCCTCTACGAAGGCAAGGAATCTTCGTTGCTTTGCTCGAAAAGCAATTGCCCGTCGTCACGAAAGTATGATATTTATCGTGGTGTTATGCAGAAATTTCGCGTGGCAACACAATTTGGTGACTCCGCTGAGGACCGAGAAGAAGAAGAGGCACACGATGAACTCTGAAACCAGAAATGGGAGCGACATCGACCTAGAGAACATCATCGCCGTCACACTTGACGATCTGCCGAAAGATGATCGGAATGAACTTGAACGGGAGCTTGAGGAAGAGAAGATTGAAAGGCTAAAACTGAAGTTGGCTGGATACCAGAAGAAGAGGAACGTCGTCGTCAAAAAGTAGCTCTGAGCCCTTCCGGTGCATTGAACACTGAGGTAAAAAAACTAAACCAACGAAATTGCTCATTTAATTGATGTGTCCGTAGCTAGTAACTACAGTTATGATATAAAAAATACGGCATGTACAATTACCCAAACAGTATTTTTGAGAATTTACCTCGTCATATTCGTTTGTTAGTGTTGCAAATCAATGATGGATATTCTAAGAAAATGCTGATGCCTCTGGAAAATAATGGATTCATTAATTTCCCTAGTAATATTCATACTGGTGCATTGGCTGCGTAACCTCATGTTCCTTTAGATAATGTTCAAGGTGGCCCGAACTATGCCAGCAGTTCAGCCAATAACTTTGTACCTAGCGTTGCTTCTCTTATTGCTTCAACTTCAGTTCCACAAAATTACAGCAGTGATAACCAAAGCATTGGCTTAAATTTTAATTTGCAGCCACCTATTTACCAGACATTAACATATAATACACCACCGTTGCTGTCTGTTGGTATCGGGGTTCCGTATGCCGGTACCTAATTCATATTTTAATTGGTCTCAGTTGCAAACATCACATGCTCAAATTTCTTTGCCAGAGTTTTCACCGAGTGCTTGCGTTCCATCTACTCCACAAATCAGTTCTCTATAGCCCAATGATAGTTTTTCAAAGACCAGCTTGCTAGTAGACTTAAGGGTAAAGCACGTGTATATCAAATACCATATCCTCATGGTTTTAGGATTCCAGATTTTGTTAATTTTACAGGGAAGATGGTAGATCTACTTTTGAGCATGTAGGACAATTTTTTAACACAATGCTATGAGGTCCGCACATCGGATGTTTATAGGGTTAAATTATTTCCTTTGTCTTTATCCGGTACTGCATTTACTTGGTTTACATTGTTTGCTCCTAATTCTATTTCAACATGGGCACAACTGGAGCAAAAAATTCATGAGTATTTTTTTGACGGTTTAAACTGAACTTCAACTTTCAGATTTAACAACTACAAAAATCACTTCAAACCTGTATTGTGCTTTTATTTAGTACTCCCTATGTTCCTAAATGTTTGTCTTTCTAGAGATTTCAACAAATGAGTACATACGGAGCAAAATTAGTGAATCTACACTCTAAAGTATGTCCATATACATCCGTATGTGGTAGTCCATTTGAAATCTTTAAAAAGACAAATATTTAGGAACGGAGGGAGTATATAATAGAAGATTCCGCCTTGGTCACAGCGTTTTGGCTCGGAGGGAGTACTAGTGACCGATCCATTTTTTCACAATACAGTAATTAATCGAGTGGAACTAGAAACATCAAAAGTAACAACAGGATGTGTGATCAGTGATGCGTGCATTTCAAAAAAGGTGAAGAAGATAATTATTATATTTGATCTTGGACCCTTCTGGCGTATTTAGTATGCCTACTATTTCAGAGTGAAGTGATTGTAATGCCAGTCAGTCCTCGCCACGCTCTAGCTAGCTATATACTCCCTCCGTCCCAAAAAATAAGTGTCGGTGATTTAGTACAAAGTTGTACTAAATCAGCAAGCTTATTTTGAGTCGGAGGGAGTACTTAGTTGTGTGTTAGCGTGCCAAGGCCATTTCACAGCCAATAATTTCCCTCGCAATCAGTGAGAAAGACACTGCATGCATGTACTACTTTGTGACCGTAAAATGCATAAGAGTATTACCTGCGTCAGAAGATGACTACTCATGATGAATTCCTCTGACGAAGATCAAGAGAGAAAGCCAGCAGCAAATTTAATCAAACTTTAGCTGATGAGGACTCATGATGAATCCCTCCATCGATGACCAAGAGAGAAAACCAAGCAGCGAATTTAACCAATATTAAACTGATGAGGACTCATGATGAATATATTCCTCTGTCAAAGACGAGGAGAGGAAAGCCACAAGAGATCCGATCTGTCTAACCCATCAGTCCAAGATCGCTCTTGCCACACCGCCTGCATACGCAACAACAACATGTTACGTTTGTGTTTCACCGTTTTTAACCAGCGGTGGTAAAGGAACATGCGAAGGTTTAATATGGCAGAAGTTTTAGAGGTTACGAATTAACAAAGGAAGATAGCAGATGGTACTATATTACTAATTAGTGATAGGTAAATAAATACCTTGATAGCAGACAAGAGCAGCTTGACAAAACAGAAGCGAAGACCTTCTCACTGCTAATGCACCCCTAATCCAGAGAAGAAATGCGAGAGCAGATCGAGAAGGAGTAGAACAAATTGGCTCCTCCTATTTTGTAATCAAATAGTGCACGAACTATTACTGGCTGCGCCCAGGGTCCTTTGCTTGTAGCTGCATGCATATATACCCTACTTTCTCTTTGCCAAAGCATGACGCAACATATATGCATTCTTTTGCTTTGTTTTTACTTTTGCTTTTCCCTTTTCTTTTCTAAAGATGATTCAGATGCAGATGCTCTTGCAGGTTTGATCGCCGCGGTAGTTTGCGCCAGGGAAAACCATTGCACAGCAAAGCGCAGCAATTCAATCATTCATTCTCCTTTGTTTTTGAAGGTAACTAAACAGCAGCATCATGATGGCTCCGACCAGATCTGAGCACACATTTACCATTCATCGGACAAAGATAGCGGATTTACAGGTGCTAATGTCTTTTTTACTCTCTCTGTTTTAGAATGGATAACATTTGTTTTCGTATTGGCGCAATCTCCAGCAAACATCCTTATCCATTGATACCAGTGAATATATCTTTATTTGGTGCTAGCTAGTGATGTTATCTTCAAATTATGAATCCAATAAAGTTCCATACATTTACAGTCAAACCCGAAGAGATTTGACTACACAAGTATTCTAGGAAGTCATATGTAATTTGGAGTAGAGGTAGTGCTTTGGATGAAACAAAAAATAACAATTGAACGATTTTACAAGTTGCAACATAAAAATTAATCGGTCGATGATTCTTGGAACACATGAAAAGCCTTAATAAAAAATACAAATAAAACCTGAAAATGGATTAAAAATAAAGAAATAATTGACACGAAAACAAAATAACTCATACAAAAAAATTCATTTCAGGTATAAAACCATTCCCACAAGTAAAACCATTGAGCAATAATTGCATATATTTTTTTGTGATATTACTCCTTTTTGTGGGGGAATTGTCATATTACTTTTACTATGTAAAACTACAGGTTCGTATGGCTCCCTGCATCTTTTTCCTGCAGAGGCCATAGGCAACAAAGTTTCCTTACAAAGTTTGAATGGCGAAAAACAATGCGCGGTTTTCTGTTCCTTAATTTGCACGTACGACGGAGGTAGTTCTCTTCTTTTCGTGCGATACAACATACAAATTAGTCGATTGGCTTGTTCGCACTTTGCAAGCAGGCTCAATATTATGTCTAGGTCAACAGACTTTGAAAACGAAAATACAATATTTTTTTTAATCTTTGTTTTCCCTCGAACAGAAAATCAGATTTTTCTTCTTCTTCTTCTATATAATCTTCTGTTCTTCTTGGAGCATACACTATGAGATCCATCCCACTACACGCCAAAAGTAAACAATACAGCTGTCTGTAGCGCGGTACATGCAGCAACCGATGCCATGCAAGCGGGGTGCACCGTGCACGTAGAACGGCTAACTAGCTAGTTCGTTCCAGGTGCTCCGGCGACGACCACCCGGCTGGACGCGCCCCTGCCACCGCAGAGGAAGCCCACGACCGCGTCGGACTGCCGGACGGCTTTGTTGAAGAGTGCGCCGAGCAGCATGCCGGCGTCGGGCACGATGACGTAGATCCAAATGGAGGTGTACCGGCCGAACACGATCGCCGGGCCCAGGCTCCCCACCGGGTTCATCGACCCTCCCGACACCGGCCCGATCACCAGGGACGTGAATTTTTAGAGCACTTGCACCCCGACTCTGCTATCATACCTCTCTAATATCGCTTTAAGATTCGTGCGACACAACTAACTTTTTATATGAAATTTTTTCTTTTTTGTTTCTCCCACATAGTAGAACATATCTTGAAGTTCAAACCTATGCAGCTTGGCAAAGCTTTCTAAGTAGAATCTAAGATAAATCTTTCAATTTTTTTTGTCAAACATAAATATACAAAATACATTTTTCTATACATTCAAGTACACACTAGTTAGTATTAACTCCGTCTGGGTTTATTAGTTTTCATAGTATTTTGACTAGCAAACAAAATATGAACGCATGTCATAAAAATTGTATTGTTGGATTCATATTTGAATGTAGTTTCCAGTGACATTATTTTTGAACCCTCATCAGTGCCGCGTGACTGTTAGTGCCCGCCTTCTGGGTCTCGTCGAGGGCAAAGAGTGCCTCCGGGCTGATGAATTATATAATACTTTGATATTGTGAACAGATGAAATTTAATGTTTTTATTTGAGATAATTTTTATTTAAAATGAGTAAATAGCATAAAACTACTACTACTTTACAGGCTAGGATTCCAAAAAACTACCGGTTTTTAATTTTTTACAGATAACTACCAAACGAGGGGTTGGCTATTTCAAAAAACCCAAAAAGCTGAGTGCTTATCAATTGATTGTGATTATGACAGGTGGGCCCTATGCGTAAGAGCTCTAATTGTTTGACCGTTTGTTTGACCGTTAGGTGTGGGCCTGCACACAAATTTAAGAAAGCAATCTGGTCCCTGTTTTTTTTGTAAAAAGCAATCGGTCCCTGCTCTCAGACAAGGATCCATTGTTGCTCCTCTCGCTCCCGAGCTGGACCTCGCGGCTCCGCCTCCTCCGACCGGTGAGCCGCCCGCCGTCGGCGCTCACCGGGGCTCAACCCTGGCCGTTGCCCCGCCTCACCTCCTTCTCTCCTTCCTCTCTACGCCCGCCGCCTAGCCGTGCTGCACGACGCCGCCGGGCCAGTGGCTGCATCTACACCGGCTCCCCATGGCGGGCTCAGGCCATCGCGAGCCGCACGCCATGGCTAGGGGCTCAGGCCGTCGCCAGCCGCGCCATGGCCAGTGGCTCAGGCCGCCACCAGTCGCGCGCCATGGCCAGGAGCGCGCCGATGAGCAAGGGCGCCGCCAGCCGCGCCATGGCCAGGGGCTCGGGCCGCCACCAGCCGCGCGCCATGGCTAGGAGCTCCTCCACCTAGCCCGTCGGCCGACTAGAGAAGCCCGCCGTCGCGACGAGGAACGCGATGGCCGAGCCGCCGCCTTTCGCTTGGCCAGCGATCTGGCCGCCGGCGAGCTGTCGGCGCAGTTCTTGATTGCTTTTTGCAGAAAATATCAAGGACCCGATTGCTTTTTTTAGAAAACATCAGGGACCTGATTGCTTTTAAAAAAAAGAAATAGGGACCTGATTGCTTTTTTTAAAACTTACATAGATACTGACATGTGGACCCTACATGTAAGGTAACAGTCAAACAAACGGTCAAACAAACGGTTCTCTTATGTGCGGGTCCCACCTGTCATAATCACGATCAATTGATAAGCACTCAGCGTTTTGGGTTTTTTGAAACAGCCGACCCCGTGTTTGGTAGTTATCTGAGAAAAATTAAAAACCGGCAGTTTTTTGGAACCCCTAGCCTGTAAAGTAGTAGTTTTATGCTATTTACTCATTTGAAAAGGTGTGGCTGAAGTCTGCGGCTGTAGCATTGCTGCCGCGTGACCGTTAGCCCTTTTTACATCATCTGATGGGGCACTAGGTTTAGATCATCAATTATATAACATTATCTGTTGGAGACGAAAGTTTTTTGAGACGATGTAGTAAAGTTATACATTTAGTGCTTTTTGGTGATGTATTTTACACCATCCATGCTCTTACAAGTGGACTACAGCAACCGATGCCACTTCCGAACAGCTAGCTGGCTGGCTAGTTCGTTCCAGGTGCTCCGGTGACGGACCGGCCAACGACGACCACCCTGCTGGACGCGCCCCTACCGCCGCAGAGGAAGCCCACAATCGCGTCGGACTGCCGGACGGTCTTGTTGAAGAGCGCACCGAGCAGCATGCCGGCGACGGGAGCGACGACGTAGATCCAGATGGATGTGTAGCGCCCGAAGACGATCGCCGGGCCCAGGCTCCTTGCCGGATTCATCGAGCCTCCCGACACGGGCCCGATGACCAGGCCCAGCGTCCCGACCGTCGCCCCGATGGCGATCCCTACCACCGCCTTGCTCTGCATGGAAGCCAAGCATCAATAATGGAAGCGATGGATCGGGTACCCGCCTAAAGTTTCCTCTCCGGCTCGCATGTATGTAAATGTAAATGTTTGGAAACGTGTAGTTACGGCGTTGCTTGTGGCGACGGTGGAGATGACGATCATGAGCACGGCGGAGGCGAGGAGCTCGAGGAGGAAGGGGAGCCGGGCGCCGGCCTCGGGGGGCCTGGGCACGGTGCCGTAGAAGTTGTCGTCGTGCGGCCTCATGATGGCGTTGACGGAGAGGCAGGCGAGCACGGAGGCGCCGATCTGCGTGGCGACGTAGAGCGGGAGCTTGCGCCAGGGGAAGTAGCGGAAGGCGGCGAAGGTGAGGGTGACGGCGGGGTTGAGGTGCGCGGGGCCCATCCAGCCGAGCACGAAGGCGACGGTGAGGGCGACGACGAGGCAGACGGTGGGGAAGGTGAGGCCGTGGTGCATCTCCTGCATCAGCGCCGCCACGCACGACCAGAACACCATCAGGAACGTCGCCACGCCCTCCAGCAACAGCTTCATCATAGTAATTCACAGAGATCAACTGTTCATTAATACACTGACTGATGACGCTGTCAGATTATTATGCTCAGAAACGCTGTAAATTAATTGACGGTCTCGATGCTCAGCTCGTCCCTCTGCAAGGCGTGAACGCAGAGCATTGCGTCACTAGTACCTCCCGGATGAGGTGGCCAACGGCTAGGCCCTTGGTGGCGTGTCCGGCAGCCGGCGCCGACTCCTGGCCGCGGCGAGCCTGCTCTAGGTCCGGCCCGTTCGCCGCGCCGTCGCCGCCCACCGTGTTCGTCTTGTCAAGATCCATCGTGGGTTCCAGTGCACCAAGAGCGAGCTAGCTAGCTAGCACCGTCAGTTCATTCTCTCGTGTGTTCCGTTGCTCCCCACGCCATTGATCCGGCCGCCAATATAGTCGTCTCGTGTCGACCACCCACCGTGTGTGATGGGCAAATTGGTTGCGTTGGAACAGAGCAGCCCTCGCACGCTCTTGGCATGTGGAGGAGGAACTGATGCTACGGGAGTGTACGTACGTGCCGGATCGATCAACTGAATTAACCGACCCACCGCTGCACTCGCTTTGTGTGGATCCTTCTTCCACTTGTTCTCAGAACAGACTCCTAGTCGTCTCACAAGAGAAAAAAAAAGTTAAATATACCATGAGTGCTTTAACTTGTCCACAACGGTCAGTTTGGTACCCAAAACTTGCAAAATACTACATAAGAGTGGCCTCGTAACTTGTTTTACCAATAATGCTAAACATACAAAGAGTTACATGCAATTACATGCTGACTAGGATTTTTTC